GAGGAATGCAAATACCATACTGGCTAGAGTCCACCACTAAACGTCACTACCCGGAGCTATGGACGAACCACAACGCAGCCTCCTGCCCTAACTTTAAATACGTGGTGTTAGCTCGGAAGCTGCGACTGGAAGAAAAAGGCGCGGCGCCAAAGCGCACGCACTAGTGCGCAGGGCTCCCTCAAAAAACCCAAGCAGGCGACTTCAGGTCTCTTTTCGCTTCCTGGCGATGCGGCTGAAGTGTCTGTGCAAAGGGGGCAATACACGCAATTGCTGATGTCTGGAAACAAGATAGGAAAGTAGTGCTTTCTACCTTAGTCCTCTGCCTCGTGCTCTTTGAGCTCGTGGCTTCGGTTTGATCTTTGACTTGAGCCAAACATTCGCCGGAGAACAGTAGATCATGGGATAGCCCAAGGCTGATCACCATGTCTCTTGTGTACTATTATACGCGTCTCACAGTCAGTCAGCATGGATGCCTTAAGGCAGTCCATGTGATGAATGCCAATATTGCACTAGGCATCGAGGTCTCTTCACACCCCCCATGAGTGAAGCTTTCAGCTTTGCTCACGAAAAGAAGAGAGTAGTGGGACCTGAAAAGAAAGAAATCTCAACGGCGATGTTGGTCTGCTGCGTGTAGAAATGCCCAATTAATCGCTGTGTGAAAACACGACTACATTGGGTGCGATCCCCGGCTTTGGTGAAAAGTGAAGGGAGACACTCAAAGAAATATGCGCGAAATGTGGCGCAATGAGTCATGTTCACATGGCAAGGATGTAATCGACGCAGGCGACGATGTGCAAATAGTCGCTCAATAGTGCCAGCGGTCATTGTCGTCCTGATAGTCCCGGTTGTAGCGGTAACCAGAGGAAGACTCTGCCGAGTTGTTGCCATACGCATGTTGATTGCGTTGCCATCGGTCGCGTCGAGCTTGTTGTGATGGAGGAGGGGAGGGGTTGCGCCACTCGTCTCGTCGCGTTGACGACGCTGACGACGGCGTCGAGCTGCTTCCAATTCCGCAGCTTCCTCAGTCGTAACAGGTGCATCCATGATCCTGTTGTGTAGCTTTGGAATGTTAGCCGGCAAATGTGTCAACGCCGCTGGATTCCTGGCAGTGTGGGCTTGTTGACGACTGGCAATCATGCGTGTACGGAAGGTGGACGGTAGCTGGAAGCGCGTTTCACCTCACCAACTCTCCAAGCATGTCTCCCTGGGCAGCGTCGCCGTCGCCTTGCATAAAGCCGGCTGGGGCCACACCTCAGCACGAATCCGGTGCTGTTCGCAACGAATACATGCCAAGAAGCTGTGCTGCCCACACTCGATCTGCATCGCACAGCACTGCGCCTGCTCTATGCAAACAAGGCCTGACTGGACAAGCGCCTTGCATGCCCATTTCTAGCCGCTGCCGACAAGCTCTAAACACACTATATAGTCAGAAAGCCAGCACAACGAGACGCTGTCACAAGACTTGCCTTGGAGACCTTGCCAAACCTGTCATCTTGGCACTCCTCTTTGAATGTATCAAAGCCAGAAAGGCGACATGCGCCTGGTAGATTGGGTTCGCAACGGTAGCTGCTGCTGGCGCTGCGACTGCCGGGGTGGTTTGGGAGACGGTCATCACCGGTGGCACCGACTCCGGTGGCAAGGTGACGGCCGGAGCAGCTGTCCTCGGATGTTTCACACACCGTTTGCGAGAGGCGCAGTTCAAAGTCAAACAGCCATATGAGAGCCGGACACCATGATACTCTTCCAGAGACTGGGCGGCAGCCCCAGCTCACTACACACCTTGAACCTCTGGCAGGCGAGCATCGCTGCTAGAAAAAGACAAGTGGTGTATGCGCTGTGTGAAGTTGTGGGTATGCTTTGGCAATTGCAAAAGGCCGAACACGCTGAACCGCAAGAAGCAGCAGTTGGAAAGTTAACTACTCGAGCAACACCGAAGCACCCCAACGTCGACACGCCTTCATGAAACAACTGCTTGTATGCAACAAAAACGGTGTGCTCGAGCACTATCTTTGTTGGTTCTATTGACTGAAGGCTTCTTTATTCGTCATGTCAATGCGCATGCTTTCCTACAAAAGTGCAAGATGCACATTAAGCGCAATTCGTTTGCTGTGGTTTGGGGGGTTTCTATTTTAACAACAGTGCCTGACACTAATCTGTTTTTTGCGCTTTGGGGCCGCCGTGCTGCCTCCCCTGCCCCTGCCCACCAAGCCTCCCATGGCTGGAAGGTTAAGATTTTGTTCAGCTCCGGAAAGGGCTGCGCATTCAGGCTTCCCGTTACAATTACCGTATTTACGCGCACTTCGCACACACATTTGCAAAACTTGCACGACATGCACAAGGAGCTTCAGGATGGTCCAAAGGAAGACGCATCCTCGGGGTGCCAACGATTGAAAAAAACACTCCGCTCCAAAACTCCGTCGGCAATGCATCCTACCTCTGCCCGTGGCTGTACTGCCGGTGGGTGAAGAAAACCGTAAATGCACAGGCTTCATGCTTCCAATATCACAAGAAGACGTACAATTGGTTGCCGTTGTCTTGGTTTCGATTCGGTGTGCCATTGCTGAGAATTGCAATTTGATACGCGATTTCTTGGCCTCGACTTAGCGCCCCCCCATGCCAAGTTGAAGTAGGACTTGTTGCCGCTATCTTGGCCTCGGGCTGATGCTCAAGGGTTAAGACGGTCAGAGTTAAGACTGTTAAGACATATGATTTGGCCCCAAAGTGGTGCCTCATGCCCCCGTTGTGGTCTAGAAGTGGTGAAGTGCGATTTGTCGCCCTTGTCTTGGTCTGGAAGTGGTCTGCCATTGCTGAGAATTGCCATTTGCTACTGTGTCGGCCCCGAGATGGCACCACAGTTGTCTCGGCCCCACAGTGGTGTCTCAGTGCTATTAAGTACGATTTGTTGCTGCATGGGTCGTGCTTTCCTTTCCTCGACTCGCCTCGGGTCAGGGTCATTCCAGTGTGAAACAAGCGCCGCTGCAAGCGCAGCGGGGCGCAAGCTGGCTGAAGCGGAAGCGGCGCTGCGCTCACGCAGAGCCTGGCCGCTGGGGCAAGGCGGCAAGGCTCGGGCCTTGGCTCAGGCCACCTCGGCTCGACTCGTCAAAGCGCGAAAGGGGACTGCAGGGCGCACACATGCGCACACACTGATGCCTTCGGGCGCCCGGCTGCTGGAAAGTCGTTCTTCCTCATTCCGAATCCACTCCGTGATCTGCCTAAAGCTCTCTGTGCAGATGCTTCAGGCATTGCACTATTCTTTGCACCGCTGCAAACGCTGCAACAATGACAATCGCAAGTAGTTGTAGATATGTAAGAGTTTCAGTGGCAGCAGCGTAAGCAACAGCAGGACATTAGTAGAAGGTGGTGCTAGTCGTCGCAGTGGTGGCAACTCTTGCTGATTGGCGAACGGAAGACCGCACGGGTGCCATGGACCGCAACGTTCGGCTGTGCACTGCCCAGCACCATTCTGCAATGCTATGCCGTGTCGAGAGTGGAGCCTTGTGGAACCTTGACACCTTTTTGGGCTTCTGGCTGCCAGGTGCCCACTGTGAGCAAAGCCAGCTTCGAACGCACGAGTTGAGACGCTAAGAAAAAGGGCAGCGCTGCAGCGAGCTGCCGTACTTTTACCGAGCCACTGCAGCTTGGAGGCCGGGGCCGGAGCGTCCTGGGCGCCTGGGCCTGGACACTGAGAGAGAGCGTCTCTTTTTAAGGGGCCTTCGTCTCGGGCTCCGGGCACACAGCCCCCGCCTGGAGGTCTTTTTGTGGGAGCCGACCGGATTCCAGGCGGCCCTGCAGGCCTGCTCCGTGCGTCCGCGTTTGGCCTGGGAGCCACACTGGGTCTGGGTCTCGCTCTTCTCCAGGGCATGGGGGCATCTCTCTCTCTCTCTCTCCCACCTGAACGGTCGCATCGAAGTGCTTGCCCGGAGGCCCGGTGAAGCCTCGCAAACGGAAGCGTGAGCGTCCCCGTCTGCTAAAGCGCAGAGCCGGGGAGCCCAGCTTTCTCCTCCCGGAAGGGCCGTGCTGGACTCCTGGCACAGGAAATTGCGAAGAACTCAACGCGAACTCGGGGGCCCTTTGCCTCACTGTCTCCGCCAGCCGCACCTGCGTGTGAGTAGCGTCTCATTCTTCAGAGCTTCGAGGGGCTCTTCGGCTTGCTTCTTCCAGCCGGTTTCGGATGAGTAGCAACATAGCGGGCGCGGTTGTGACCTGCGAAGCTTCGAAACCAGAGCACCTCGAGCTCTGTGCAATGCTCGGACAAGCGGACGTTCTCGTCTCGGAGCGCGCGCAGCTTCTCCTCAGACTCAGACGCCGCTCACCGCGGCTGAAAAACCGCGGCTCAGAAGACCAGAGAGATCGAGGCGCGCCCCTGTCCGGCCCTCGGCCCTGGCCCTGTCCTGACACACGTCGGCCTCGCGCTCGAGCCGCTGAGTCAGCTCCTCGCAAGGAGCAAGGAAGGAGCCCTCAGCAACCAAAACGACCCCCCTAAGGCCCTAAGGAAAGCGGTCGCGGTCTGCGCCTTGCCTTCTCATGCAAAGCCTCGTCTCTCGCAGCCTGTCATGGACTTCCTCTTCTGCTGCGGCGCCGCGTGGGCGCCGCGTGGAGCTTGCACTACTTGCGTTGCCTTTAGATTCTTGGGCATTCTAGTTCCAGGATTCTTCGTGCATGGCCCGCAGAAAGCACAGACCTCTGATATCATAGCTGTGTCTGCTATGATCCGCATATTCGGAAGACTTGCATTCTTTGCTGCACGTCCTTTGATTGCCGCTTGCAGCTATGACCCAAGGCCTGCATCTGCAATTCCAAGTCCTTCACACGCCGACGGGCCTAGAGCGAAGCTCAGCTGAGCCACTCTGTAGACCAGATTTGAGAAGCTGCTGCGCTACTGCGCTACACAGGGATGCTCCCTGTTGGATCTCCGGCCTCTTGCATGGCAGGCGAAACCAAGTGGAGGCGCTGCTGCCTGACTCGAGAATTCTCTCTGAGAGGAGAAGGCGCGCTTGGAAGGGAGTGCCCCTCGGCGTCGTGGGGGCCCGGCGCATCTGCGTTCTCCTTGCTGAGAAAGACCAGTTCCTGAGACGAGAAAAACCCCAAAGAAGAAGAGAACCCGGGCCCCGGGCCCCCTCCCTCTTTCAAAACCCTACGCTCTAGACTCTATACGCTGCTACGCATTGTGGGATACGGCTACGGCTACGTGCTCCGTGTGGGCCGTCTCCCGTGGATGGCCGGGGCCTGCCGGCGCTCTTAGCTCGCTCTCTCGCTCTCTCGCTCTCTCGCTCTGCTGGGCGCCGGTCTCCACGCAGCTTCTCGGCCTCGAAGGGGGCGCAGCGACAGGGACTTCAGGTTCTGCCTTTGCCCTTTTTCTGTTTTGCGACAGCTGAGACTCTCGAGGAGCGCAAGAAGCAATAGTAACTAGTACCCACGTTCTTTCGGAAGGCTTTCTCGAATCCGCACAAAAACTTCTGCGGCGAAAGGGAAAGAGTGTAGGCAGCCGCCTCGGCGCCGAGTAGCTGCAGCTCTGACTCCAAGTTCCGACGCCTCAGCGACAGCATCATCGGCAGCAGCGACAGCGCAGACAAACTGAAGAAACGCTCAGGCTTTGAGGCTTCTCTTCGCCGTTTCCTACGAAAAACGCGTCCTCTCTTCAGCCGAGTCACATTCCCCCAGCAGCTGCCTGTCAGACGGAGACCGCTCGGCTCTGCGAAAAGAAGACCGCTTCCGCTTCTGCTTCCGCCCAGAGCACCGGACCGGACCTGATCGTGTCGAAGCTGCTCCAGGCGCTTCGAGACTTGCGCCTGCGAGCGGCGAAGAAGCAGCGAAGCAGCGAAGAAGCGCAGAACCGCCGAAGCACCGGGCGCATTCGCATGGCCTCCTCTTCGTCTGCCGTGGCCTTTGCTGCAGGCGCAACGCACGGAAACAGCGCTGCGCGCTGGCCTCTGCTCTTGGCCGGCTGCTGCTTCTGCTCGCACCCGATCTCGCGAATGCTCCACCTGCACAGGCCGAAGGAGGCCGAAGCGAACGTGGCCCGTACTGCCCTCATACCGGTCAGCGAGGTGGGTTTAGGGCCAGTTTAGGGGGGTCTAGGGCCTATCTAGGTGCGTGCGTACCCTGCTGTTCCTTGCGAGAATTTCCGAACTGCAGAGGGGAATCGATGCCGCCAGATCGAGTGGGACAAGTGGAGTTCCCGCACGTAGCGACGTAGAGCGTAGAGCTTAGAGGCACGTCCAAGAGTAGAGAGAGGCGGCGTCGAAAGTCAGATCCGTGTTCGATGACTCTGAAGCCAGATGCCGTCTGTCACTCCCACATGCGGGAGAATGTCAAGCTGTAAGCCCTGGTCCAACCAGCTCTACTGCCGCTCTCCAGCCAAATCTATTTCCATCCAAGCCGAAATGCAGCAGCCGATGTGCGCAGTCATGAACACTTGCACAGGGTAAAGTCTCTTTTCGCCGGCAGGCCGACAGACCCTCCCCGCCGACCTGCTGCATTCGCTCTGTCTGCTTGCTGAACTTGTCATCGGTGTCGCCAAGCTCTGCCTCCAGACGAGTCTATCTAACTTGCGGCGGCTGCGAGTGCAGACCGAAACATAATTCTCGGGCCCCTGCCTTCTTCGTGGATGCCAGCGCCTCAACATGCTTGGCCTGCTCCTCTCAGCGGGGCGATTCTGGCTGATTCTGGCTAGCCAGTGGTTCCTCGCCTCCGCAACTCTTAGCTGCGCATGCAACTGCACGGTCTCGGACTGCACCTTTGATCCAGCAGCATGTGCTCCCATGACATTTTCCCCTAACTTGCGAAAGAGCCACGTGTTCTGCACCCCTCTCTGTTTCCTGCAGCGTTGCGAGCTCCTCTTTGGCAGCCTCCATCCATGACCTGCCCGAAGTGAACACATCGCCTGTGCCTTGTGCCCTACCTCCAATTCTCTGCTGTCCGCGAGTACCATCAAGCTTGCCGGTATTGCTCCCTTGTAACAAGAAAGAACTTGATAAGCCACACTCTATTTACAATTTCCTGCTTGCCTGACATCGTAAATGTTTTCCATCTCTCAACCGGAAATCACCGAGCTCCTATGATTCCTGGCAAGAAACAATGGAAAAACCTGTATCGTCCGAGGCCAGACAGATGTGTTTTGCATCTTTTGAGAAGTACGGTATATGCTTTAGCACGAAAGCAAACAACAGAGCGTCCTTGCATGTTCGAGACTTCCAGACAGGAAAACTTATCGGGAGCTTCCGTTTCGGTTGAAAAATCGAGGCTTTTTTGTTTGAACAAGCCATTCCAGAACCCTGCTGAGGCTCAAAGCCCAGCTTTGGTGTTTACGGAGCCACCTCGATTAGCATCCGAAACCCGTTTCAGTTTCCGCCCTTGCAAATTGATCAAAGTCCCGACGGCCTGCATGAATTGGCATCGGATGCCATCCGCAACTTTCAACTCAATCGTTCTCAAACCTATGCCACGGCTTGAGAAATGACATATTTAGGGCATGCTTGGGCCCCGTCGCCTTCAAAGGGCTGGACGACTGGGCACGTGTCTTGACTGTCAAGATGCAAGCTTGTAAGCGCTGTAAGAACCGGGCAAATAATTCTCGGGAAGGTTTTGGGAGTTTCCGGGCCAGGTTCCCCACAAATTCGGGGCAGGGGCCGGTTCTCGCGGCAGTGTTCGGGGCAGGTTTCGGGGCGCGTGTTGAATGGGTTCCCGGTAGTTCCCGGGCGTGGTGCGAAGCGGGTTGCAGGTTCATTCCGGATTCGGGAGGCTCCGTTTCGTGCGAGTCTAGTTTTCATGGCGTCCAAGTTCCACATGCTTTCGTGAGCCTTACAAATCGCGCACCCGTGACAGCGAGTCTCGAACCGTTGATGTGCACGCAACGCTAAACCCCAAAATCGTGTTGAAGATGATTTATTGTTGGTAGTCCAACATGCATCAATCAAGGCTCGGAAAATGCATCTGGAGCTGTTTCAGATTTGCTGTGTTCCTGGCCGCGCTCAAACCGAGCTCGAAGCGTCCGACCAAGCCCAAATTCATTTTCCAAGGCTTGCTATATGTAGTTAGGGTCCAACAAATCTGGAGTTCAACGCCATCCCTACACGCGACGAAAATCGCACCGGAAATGCTTTTATCCGCCGACCCTGCTGGGAGGGGCTCTTTGCTAGCTGCGGTCTCAGCGACCCCACTTCCCCACCGCCCCGCCGCTCCCACCGCACCGGCCGTCCCTTCACCGCCTCCCGACCCATCAACTTACGGCCCGCCGCTCCGACCGACCTGGTCACGGCCTTGGTTTCAGCAAATCTTGGGTTGAATGCCCGGCCTTGCATGGACAGCCTATCTACCGCTCTGTCAGCTTCTCTGGCGCCCTATATGTGAGCCCAACTACAGCTTTTCCGCTGTTGGGGATTCTCAATTGGATTATTAGGATTGCTCTGCAACGGTTCAGTGACCCAGCGAGCTCTTGCATGGAAAGCGCTCAAATAAGAAGGGCAAGAGAAGAAGGGCAAATCGCCTCTAAGTCTATCACTTGCAGATTCACAAATTCCTGTTGCGACAACATGAGATTGTTCATTCTGCCAGCACTGCTACCATTAATTACAGCCGCTATATATTGGTGTTAGGCTCAGGAAGACCGGAGCAATTCTGGTAGGTGGCTCGCTTCGCTACCATTTCATCTTCCCGGTTCGACTCTTGCTACTTCCGGCGCCTAGCTACCTCCCATGAGTGACCAGCGCGGCCGGTCGCCGAAACCAAGCACAAGCACTCGCAGCACCCACCAATGGCAATCTCCAGCAGCAGATCACGGCCGTGCAGAACATCGTCGAACAGCATCAGGGCCGACTCACACCGCGGACCGCCGATCTGCACACACTCGCGCCAAGAGTGGAGGAACCACTTCTCTATAGCACAAAACAAGCATTTCGGGGCTTGTCTTCACCGCCACAGACAAATCGCCATCGCACGCGGCCAGATCCCGAAGTACCAGCATAAGATTGACCAACGTTCCGATGTAAAACTCAGTGTGCTCCCAGGTCGTTGGTAAACAAAACCTATCTGGGAGATGAATCAAGACGAGGATCAGAACAGTCTCCGCCTCGGCCCGCTCCAAACCATGCGGGCCTCCTCTCCGTCCAGAAGTCGAGTCAACGATTTTCATCCTTGTCAAGCAACGTATCAAACGGCACAGGTGTAGTCCCGCCAGTCGGTAAGCTCAGCAAGCCGGGGTTGTACGACGCGAGGGAGTCAGGGTTCCGGTCCTCCCCAAACCAACGCGAGCCTGAAGCTGTCCAAGTGAGCATGTGGACCGAATTACGAACATGATCCAGAACCACCTGCTATGTCAAAGACGGAAACACTTTGTTTCCACATGACTTCGCCTCTTCAGCCTCCGCTTGACAGATCTAGCCCTCGGTGGCCACCAGAGGTGGAAACGCCTCCAGGACGGACGCTGGAAAAATATCTGGCAGAAAGGGCTGTGCTCTATGCCTGGCCAGTCGCCTCATTTCGGTTAAGCGAGCCAGGGCCATCCTTGTTGTTCTTGGACAGTTCCCAATCCTCCCTGGCCTTCCGCATGTTCTTCGCGCATTGAACATCTTTTCCCATCTCCGATTTCATGTGCTCCAAAGGTCTCGGAGCAATCATCAGGGTCCCTGCTTGTCTGACGAGAAACCCAAAGATGTACTGCTCCTCCAAGCTGAGCTTCCCGTCGACCGAGGGCGAAAACTCTCGTGTTTTTTTTAGAGTGGGCATGCTCAATCGTCTGTACCCTGAGCTCGATGCCACAAAAGTTGCAAGCCCTCTTGGTCAACTTGTCGTCAATCTTGCAAAGCTGCCTGAGAAGCTGCCTAAAGCGTTCATGGTGAGACTCAGAACCCAGCCTCTCAACAGCCAAGGTGGTCCGAGGCCAGGCAACTTTCCGCTTCATATCGAGATCCAGACTCTCGGCACCGGCCGTTCCGGCCGTCCAAGGAGTTGGGCTTCACCTCCAAGATCCGTCCATCGCAAGCGGCCGTTCATTGAACGCCGACATGGATGCTGAGCTGATGCACATACAGAACAGTTTGCGTGCAAGCAGATGTGCACAGCTTTGCCCCCATCAATCCCATTCCATCGATGCAACGTGCACCCGGCATCAGCAGGAACCAAAGGTCCAGCAACCGCCCGCGCCGCCACGTCACCACCTGCGACCTCGTACACGCATGAGTAAGGCAAGTCAGCGGCGCAACGCCATACAGCTGGCCAGGAAGTATGATCATCCACAAGGCAATCTCGCCGCTCTGCATCGCGGCTGCTCACCGATCGTTGATCTAGGATTTGGAGGCCGCGCTGGCACCTTCCCTGGCTGGCCTTTCACGGAGAAGGTGAGCTCTTGCCCCCTGGCCCGCTCTGAGTGACACTCTGCAAAACAAAGGCAGGCCGTCAACGCAGCAACCCAGAGCCTCGGGCCATCAGATCCAGGCTTCTAGGCGGGATTGCAGTGGCACAGGGCCGTGCCCCTCACGACTCCCTGAAATCCAAATGCCTCCGATCTAGCCTCCCATGGCAAGAGCAGCGTGCGTCACATCCATGCTCCGACCTTTTCCTTTTGAACTTAAGAGATAACGATGACGTTCACATGTCACGGCTAGGCAAGACCGTTCAGAGAACTAACATGCTGATGTGCAAGGTCCGGTTGGCTAGAACACCGCCATCTCCAAACACAGTCACAGAACCAAACGCCGAACACTTCGGCATGAATACTCTTTGGCGTTTTGATCTCGGACATGTGTTCGTGTATGATTGGTGGCTTCGTTTGATGGGAGGTGTTTGAACCTTGAACCTGCAGGCATTTCGCCCCCACTTACATGCAGCTACCTCTCCTTGTTCTTCCACTTGCAACTTCGACACCTCTGCCATCGCAACCCCCTGCCGCGGCCGCCTGCGTCGTTCGATCTCCATCTCGACGGCCACGCAGCGTTCTGCAAACCTGCGAGAAAGCGTGTGCTCAGGACTTCTTTGCTCACGCTAGTGCGCGGCGTTCAACCAGTTCCTGCTTCAGCTGTCGAGTCTACCAGTCCCTGCGCCTATCCTGCCGTGAACGAAAGCTAAAGCTTCGCTGCTTTAATGCCAGATCGCGGAGGCGGCTGAAAAAGCGGGCTGAGGATGCCAAGAAGGAAGGCCCTCAGAGTACGTCTCAAAGTCTCAGAGAGAGCCACGAGGCCACTTAAAAGACCACTTCACCAACTACGCCGGCACCTGCCCGGCCTCTTGCGGGCATCCTCTTCTGGAGAGTCTCTGTGTACGGCGCACAGCTGACCCCGAATCCGAAAAGACTGTGAACACTGGTTAGAGATGCCAGCCTTGAAATCCTTACCAAGTGGACTTACACTCGCTGCGGCCTCTGGCGCTCGGCAGTGGAGCACTGCAGGAGAGCCTGCCAGGCGACACGGGGCACAGCTGGGCCGCTGGGCCGCTGGCGCGCGCAGCTGATGCCAGATTGGGGGGCCATGGCCTGGCGGTCGCTGAGTTGCTCCTGTAGCGTCGCCACCCGGGCACGCACCTGACGAGCTCGCTTCACTTTCACTACTTCAACGGTCAGCATTGTTTTGTCGAAGCGGAGCTGCACGATGCAGCGAACTTCGTTGACACGAGAGGGCGAAAGGGAGAGCTTGGACAACGATCCAAGACGTAGTGACTACGACGTAGTGACGAAGTGTGTGCGTGTCTCTCTGTGTGCGAAGACTCTCGAAGGGCTCAGGTTTGGAGAGGGAGTGGCTGCGGGCCGTGGCCTGCGACCCGCATCGCGGCGAGCGAACTTCGGAAGCTCTTATTCATCTTTCCCACCTCTCCCGTTCTCGCCTGGTCCAGGTCCTCCCGCTGATGTGCGGCCCTGGCCAGCACCACTCCCTGTGCCTCAGAGAGCAGAGGAAGCTGTGCGTGGCTTCGTGGCTTTGCTTTGCACCGAATTTGCACCTCCTCCTCGGCAAGGAGCTCGGACTTCATCCTCGCCTGGCTCTCCTGAAAGAGGCGACTGGACGTGCAGGGCTCTGCAGGGCTCTGCGCTCTGCGCTGCTCTGCACCGCGATCTCCTCCTCCTTGAAGGTGCGTCCCTCAAGACCATCCTCGGCTGTGGGCAAAGCTCCGTGCTGCTTAGACCTTCGACGGCTCGGAAGTCGAGCATCAAGTCAAGTATGCCGTAGGGCGTATGAGCATCGAAGAACAAAGCACACTCGAGTTAGCGGCTTGCCCGGCTTGCGTGTACCGAGCACGACAAGGCGCTCTTGCTCTTTCGCTCTTTCGCTCTTTCGCTCTTTTTTTCTCCTTTCTTCCTCTGAAGGCTGAGGGAGACTTTCAGGGGCACGGAGCACCAGCGAAATTGGAATTGCTTACAGTGCCTGCACGCCGAGACGAACCGCGGATGCCTGTCTCCAACTTATCGCAATCCATCAAGCCCGAAACCTCTTGGTACATGAGAAGATGCGCCAGTCTCTTTAGTGCTTGTAGCGCCCCTATCGTTATTCCTAGCGGTTTAACATGTAACATTTCACCTTAAGCGATATCGCTGCAAAACAACTTGATCGCGACCCTAAAGGAGGAGGCATTAAAATTACAGGTAAAATGGCGGATAATGTCCCTTCTTTTGGAAACTCTAGAGGAGATGAAAGTTGTAATTCGTGAGAGGAAGCGCGCCAGACGATGGGATTTTTAAGGTATGTCAGACTGGTTTAAATTTATGGCACAGGGTAGGGTGAGGTCAGACAAGGGTACGCCCGAGGAATTTGAACAAAGAACCGAGACCTAAGAGACAGATGTTGAAAGGATAGACAAAAATGTAACCATCCTAAAGAACGGCTTAAATATGATGGACCATGATGGACCAATTTCAAACTCTAGTTTATATCGACAGTTGTATAGTTACTCTGCCCAGAAACATGTAGAATAAAAATCGTCCCGTTGCTCCCTTATGAGCAAGGAACACCGCGGCATGTGCATGCAATGAATGCAGTGGAGAACTGAAAGGGAACCCCACTCTTGGGGGGTCTCGTATTGCCACTTCGAGTGCCACCAGTGGTTTTATACGCTGTAAACATGGCAGCACTGTAGTACGCAGGGAGAAAGTAGCTGAATAGCTATGAACAGAAGCATAAAGAAGCTCTCAGCGAAAGGAAGAGCCCGCGAGAGCGCAGCGCAGGCACAAGAGAAAAGGTTCACAGGGAACAGTTTCATAAGCACGCCATAAGAGTATGGAAATGATTTGAATTCGTAATCAGTTTCGTTAAATCTTGCAGCAAGCCTCTTTTCCTAATCTCAGATTATGAACTGCATACTTGTATGATGGTAGTACCAGTGAAAGTAAACAAAAGACTAATGAGTCAGTTCTGATGCATCTAATCGTGCGAAAAGGTTATCGTTGTAGGCAAGTCAAGATATCTTGTTTCAACCGCTCAGATTGTGTCAGAAAAATAGTCTGACAATTATGCTGAATTCACCTTGACTTGTTCTGAAGGCTTAGATAAAAGCCGTGTAAAGGGAGATACAGGCCGCATAAAAAACAGCCGAAGAGTTCGGGTTTACTAGATTGGGTCAACCTTGGCGCAACTGCTTCTGAATTGCAAAACAAAAGGGAGGAAGACTATAAGATGCAAGTAGTAGTAGATAAGAAGCCTGACGTTGCCTGAGTGTTTGATCATGTTGGATGGCTGTTGAGGGCCGATGTTTTTTGAAGTACTTCATGAGATTTGGAATGCACAAGGATAGGGTGATGATTGAGATACCTGTTGATGACAAGCCGCAAGAAACAGGCTCATTCTTCTTACAACATCATTCAATTTCAGTAGAACACATAAGCAGTTAATCAGTTGTATCATATCTTCTGAGATATCTTATGAATACATTAGAAAGTGCAACATGATTTGAGACAACCAAACAGCTGGAACTGTTATTTTAGCTTAACTTTACATTCAACCCCAAACGCTGAACCACGTTCTACAAGGAGCCCCATTGCCTATTTGGGCGTATGGCAGTCAGATAGTTGTAAGCACTATTCCTAGGATGGTAGCTTCGGTTGGGATCTCGGTTAGGACGGTTAGGATCTTGAGATAGATTATCCTAGGATGGGGTCTGGGTGGTGCCATACACCTAAACAGGCAAGGTATGGGCCTCTCTCGACGGAATGCTGACGAGGGCACAATCTCTGCGACCACGGCTGCGCAGCGAAGGTTCAGCGACTGCAGCTGAGCCTTCGCAAAAGAGAGGGGAGCGGGCCGAGACGCGGGCAGCAAAGGGCTGAGGCTGAGGAGGAAGCCCCCAGCCGCCGAGCATCTTGTGCGGCTTGCGGCCGAAGCCTCGGAGCGCACCGCAAAGCAACGGCGGTGCACACATGCGCCGCATGCGCCGCATGCGCCCTTCGCCCTTCTCAAAATGGCGGTTTTTTTGGGCGCGGAGCAGCTGCTGGCGTCGCAGCCGGCCCTGAGCTTCGCAAGCCTTCGCTCGCTCCTTGCGACCTCGAAGCGCAGCGAAGCGCAGCTCCAAAGCAAGGGACGCTTCCGACGCTCCGCTCGTGGCGACGCTCCGCTTGACGCGAAGCTCCTTCTCGGCAAGCGACAAAGCTCTTCGAGCACCTTCTTCTTCTCAGCGAGGGCCTTCGCCATGGACGAGACAGGCGGGTCGCTTATCACGCCACAGGACGTCCCTTGCCGCTTGGAAAAACAGTGGGCATGACTCTGCGGCTAGCACGGGGACTCAAAACGGAGCGGAAGCGTGGAGCCTCCGTCTCGCTGCGAAGCGCTGCCAACTGCTCCCGGGAGCTGCCCAGCTGCTCATGAGACTGCGGGCAGAGCAGGATGCGAAGCGCTGCGAAGCGCTGCGAAGCGCTGCGAAGCGCTGCGAAGCGCGCAGTCAGTGCAGTCGTTCAGTCAGAGGCGGAGTCGGCCCCCGGAGTTTCCTCCTCTCCGCAGGCCTCTGCCACCTTGGACTCCACCTTCCGAGTCTCCTGACAGCAGAGCGTGTGCTCCCGCTCCCGCTCGCGCATTCGCTCGCCCTCTGTGAAGTTGGGCAGACTCCTCCCGAGCGGAGATCGTCGCAACTTCCAGCCGCCTCCTCACTTTGAGGGGAGGGAGGCGGCTTTGAAGGGAGCTGAGTGCAGCAGAGCCTCTCCGCATCCGACGTCTCCTCTTCGGATCGCAAGGTTTCCTGCAAGGACCGGGGCGAGTCGAGAGTCGGAGTGAACTTCGGCGCCCCTGCCGCCTCCAAGTCCAGGCAGTTTTGAATCTCCGACTTCTCGCCAGCCTCGGACGTCCACAGGCGCAGGCGCAGGCCAGCACGCGCAGAGCTCTCGAGCTCTCCAGACCTCGCCTCGGCCCTCTGGAGTCTTTCAATCAGCTCAGAGAACCTCAGACAGGACAGCTCACTGGAGAGGAGGAGTTACGGCAAAAGGCGGCGCCTAAGGCGGCGGGCAAGGCTCTCTGAGGCTCACGGCTTGTTGCAGAGGAAGTCCACGCTGCTGTCAGCACCTGCAAAGAGGGACGCCGAAAAGACGCGGAGAGGTGCAACGAGCGTGTCGCGCCTGGCCTGGCACCAAACTCCGCTGCAGGCCGCAGAGCAGGCGGCTCACCTCCAAAGCCTCTTTGAGACCACACAGCACATGGCCCTTAGAAGGCAATGCGAAGCTCCTTCTCTTTCGCCTGCGGCGACTGTGGCAATTTCGCCATCTGGCCGGTCCGATCTATGTGGCCTTTTCCTTTCATGCTGTTGACCGAATGGTCCAACGCCTGCATTGCTGTGGCCACCGTGACAGCCACCGGCTAGAAATGTTCTCACACGCCTATACTCAGACGTAAACTGACGTAAACCCATGCTGTGTGTCGTGCCAGGCATCGGCAAAGTCACCGATCTCTGAAGGCCTAAACTAAAGTCGATGCGGGAGTCGGAAATTGGATCCACCTCTTGCTCACTCTTCGGGTAGTACAGTAAAGATACCTACAGCATGTCTGCCGTGGCTTCTGCGACAACATCTTCTTCTGGCACGCATGCAGTTTAGTTTATTCACCATCTTCATGTAAATACATGCATGAAGGCACCCTCAAGGACACAACGCTACAAGCTGGAGAAGGGGGCCACGGTGTAGCTGGCAAATGCACGCAGGGTCTTTGGAGAGCGTGGCAATAGACACGAAGCGCACGGAATCGCCCACGCAGGACACACCTTTGCATTCGGATTCAAGCTGACCTTTGAACGGACACTGATGAAGCACGAGGCAGGGCAGGGTCGGTCCGACATGAAACCTGTCACTGTCTCTAGAACTTTAGAACTGAGCAAGGTGGGTGTAGCGTACTCATATGTTCGGCCCTCCTTTTGATCTGTTTTTTCGAGTTGTAATGTGCAGTCACAAGAAGCATTGCAGGATGCAGCTTAATCGCTTAACCACAAACAGAGGATTCTGCGGGGCCCTTTTTGCAAGTGCTCAGTCACCAGGATCCCTGTACAACTGTACAATCACTGTACAACGGTGAGGCTTCAGTTCAATTTCCATCCCGAGTCACACCCATGGTGTCCATACGTGGTAGAAGAGACGGAGTGTGACCCAGGCATCCAGCGCCGCGTACTTCACCTCCAGGGAAAAATCCCTTTCGGTTGACGCTCGTGCTCTCTTTTCGACGCGATTCCGATTCCGATTCCTTGTGCCTGCTGTGGTGAGAGCGTGTGCAGGGACCAGTCCGAGCAGCTGCAGCTGATGTCCTTTCTTAGGACGTAGCCTCGGGGGCACAGGCACAGAGAGATGCGAGGCAACCCGACAAGAACAGCAGAGCAGTTCTCAGTTCTTAGGTGGGGCGGCGGGTGCGGCGGGTGCGGCCCCACGCCGGGGCCCCAGCGGAGCAGCTCCGAGGCCGTGCGCTGGAGGCCCACGGGCCGGGACGGACGCCCCAGCAGCGCCGCGCAAGACGGCTGCCTGACAAGGAGTCTGTTGGAAGCAATGGCCCTATAAGAGGCTTTACGGCTATAAGCGGCCGGCGTGTTGGGGGTGGGGGGGGGGGGTGGGGGGCAGGCTGAGCCGACCGATGCTTGATTTACGGATTTACGCCGCTGCCGGCTGCCGGCTGGGGGCATGTCGACCACCGAGTCTCTATACAGGAAAATTCCGCTGGTGACGAACTTCTCCACGTCCTTGCAATCCACACCAAAGCCAACCTCATGCATGCTGCGGGAAACTACACAAAGCATCACTGCAGCCTTAGAGTGCTGGGGCACTTCTCCGATGTCTCGCGTCTGGGCTGCGACCGAGCGTCTTTGGTAATCCATGGATCCACGAGCATCTGCTGCACAGGAGGAGGAGTTCGTCCAATCCGGTGCAGCTGCAGGACGTAGACCTTTCCAAGCTCCACAAGCTGTTTACTACACGTCTTTGTATCTTAGTCTTAATCTTCAATTTAAGGAAGCTTCCATTTCCTTAATCTTGCAAGCACGGCTGCCCTGCAGGTCGGAAATGCCAGCTGCATCACCGAAATAGGATGATCGGAGTCACCAACGTCTGGTACCCACTCCACATCAAGTGCCACAAGGTCTGCCATTGCCAAGTCCCAACAAAGGGCGATGTAGCTCTTGCTCTCAGTGCTGTTCACGACCAGAACTTCCAAAGGCTCGTCTGGCAGGGGCTGGGGTGACCAAAACGTGGCTGGCGCCTGGGCCGCGTCCCAAACGGTATCGCAGCCGCCCCAGAAAGCGGTAGCTTCTGCATCCCAGGCCCACTCCGTCACTGTCTGCCTGGAGCCTGCGCCTGCGGTCCTGTATGGGAGGCCTGGGCACCACAAGTTTCCGCTCGGAGTCTTGGCTCTGAGTGCCATGGCGGAATCTTCCTACAGTAGGGGCCCGCTCCGCTTTAGCTTAGTCACCAGCCAGAGACTGAAGCGCGCAGAGAAGAAGAGAAGACAGATGAGCACAACATGAGCAGCATGGGTCGCGCGCGCTCACGGGCCATCTTTGCTCACGTCCGGCCCGCAAATAATTCGAAGTCGCGGGTGTAGCCTCGATAGGCGGCCACTATCATCATCGGCTCCTGAGCGAGGAGCACAGCTTCAGGCGGTCCTAATCTGAGAAATTTTACTGTAGCGGGGGCGGGGGCCTCCTTCCATCCCTGCCCCGAACGGCCAGCGTAGCGGGAGCCCGTGTAGCCGGCGTAGCCACCAGAACGCCGATCGCAACCCCGGCCTCTCCGACATCTCAGCTTGTCAGGCTCGCAGAGAGGAGAGAGGAGCGGCCTTGTAGGTCTCCATCTCTCCCTCTCTCAGCTGGCCTGCATTTGGGCAGCGCTTAGCGCATGTAGGTCGGCTCTTTTCCCAAATTCCTCTGGCGCGCCGAGCCAGGGACTTTTTGGACGTCCAGGCGTGCGGCTTCTCCTTCCCTCGCCTCCAAGAGCCCTGACTCCCCTGGCCCTGACCACCAGCACCAGCACCAGGCCATTCCTCCGCGCGGGGGTTTTCTTGCGGGATATGCTTCGGGCTTCGGGCCAGGGCCAGGCCCAGGCGCGCTCCTCCTCTGCGGCCGCTTCGGGCTTCTCCGAAGCTCTCCGGGAGCGCACGTCAGGCCTCAGACAGAGAGAGAGAGAGGGAGAGAGAGAGTGAGACCAACGGACCACGCTCCCGCAACACGCTCCGCAACTCCGCGGGGCTCCGAGCGGGAGCGGCGCAGGCTTGGAGGGCTTGATCTCGGGGCCGCCCCTGGCAGCACGTGAAGCTCCTCTCTCTAGAGCTGACAGAGAAGCGGCACCGTACTGGTCTCCCTTAACTGCTCTCCCTTAAGCCGAGCCCAAGCCGGCTTGGGCTTCAAGAGGGAGTTCTGCGCCTGAGACAAAGGAGTGAGAAGCTGCGCTGAGCGCTGAGCGATCTCTCTGCTAAGCTCTGCTAAGCTGCCAGGGGCTTCGTCGTCTTCGACTTTGGGATCCTTGGGGCCCGAGAGCGGATTTACGGCAGGGCCCCCATTTTCAAGCCGAGCTGCTGGTCCCAAGCAGGCCGCCCAAGCTCAGGCCGAGGTCCCTGAGAAAGCGTCCATCAAAAGAAGCTCCGCAGCTCCGCAGCTCCCCTTCTTGGGAGTGCCCCCCTGGCCCTTCCCCCCTTTTGCGGATCCTCTTCCGCCTCCTCGGGCTCGGCTCGTGGGGCGTCGCCGTGGCGCTGCGCCTGCAGCCGTCCCGGCCGTCCCGGCCCAATGCGACCCATTCACACCAAGCGCGACTCACACAGCGCACAGCGAGAGCCGCGCACCCGAAAGGCTGCAAGCCTGCCGAGCCTCGCGCAGCCGAGCAGTAGAGCCGAGAACTCCGAGCACTGCTACACTGAGACGCACTGCGACACAGCCGGCGCCTGCTTTTCGGCAAGGTGGCTGGGTCGCATCGCGCAGCTTCAAGATGAGCTTCACCTCTCTTCACTGCGCCCAGCGAAAGCCCCTTGGCCCTTAACGGTTCGAGCCCACCTCTGCGGTCAACCCTCTTCGCTCAAACCCCGGCCTCGAGCAGCTGCGCAGATGCTGGCGATGGACATTCTCCTCGAAAGGATTCCAGCAAGAAGACAGAAGGAGTAGGGCAAAGGCAAAGCCTGCGCTTCGACTCGCGGACTCGAGGCTGGATTTTCTCGTGCTTTCAACGATGCTGTGCCCTTTTCTGGAAAGTTCCGGGTGCCATTCACAACATGTTGCATGACATGTGAGTCGTTTTTTGGAGCCCCTAGTGGCCCCCCTGGTCTGCACTGGAGCCAAAAAGGCCAACAAGCAAAGAAGCAGAGTTGCCCGCATGCTAGAGCTAGAGTGATTCGAGTGACCAATGACGAAAAAGAGACCTCGCCATGCTGTGCCCTTTGGAGTCTTTATAATCAGATGCGAGCCGATGCCAGAGGTCCACCGCAGCGGTCACTCGAAGACTCTCTCTCTGGCCTAATGTGACGCCTGCGACTCTGCGACTTGCAGCGACGTGACGTGGGGAGCGATGTCCTGCCAAATGGGCATAATTTTCCGGGTTTCGAATGGCCGGCGTGCTGCTTTGAAGCGGGCGCTTACGGCCCGTGACCCTGACGGCCGTGACGCCCGTGACGTTCAGCGCTGCGTCGGCTTCCATCCTTAGCTCAGAGAGCCGCCGCTTGGGCCGCCGGCCGGTGAAAGCCAGCTGGCCGCCCTTTGGACGCCCTTTAATTACGCGCCCTTTGCGCGCCCTCGCTTGCTGCGCCTTGCGGCCTCTGCTGCTGCTGCCTCGCTTGCCCAAAAACAGACACAAAGAGAACGCTCAGCCCTTTCACTGACGTGAGAGAAATCCAAAGGCAAGGGCCTGGCATCCAACAAAAGCCAGCCCTTAGCCCCGAGGCGCTAGCGAAGGCCAGGACGGAGCAAGGGCACACACCTCTCGTGAGACGCGCTCACCGTCGTCGCTCTGCTCGGATGCTTTAAGGCCTTAAACAGAAGCCGAGGTGAGGCTGTCATCACATGTTCGAGAGATGAAGTGCTCTTGGGCTAGGCCTCTTCTAGAAAAATCGTTTCGGGGGGCCGTCAGTGCAGTCGCGTGGCCAGTCGCGTGGAGAGCTCCCGCTCTCGCTCTCGAAGCCTCAGCGCACCTTTCACAGCCATAAGCCTCACGCGAGCCTTGGAGGGCCCTTGCAGAAGCCTCAGTCTCAGTCGCCCCTCTGTACCGCAGTGAGGGAGGTGTCAGTCAAGGCCTCAAAAGTCGGCTCCCTCTAAGTCAGAGATGCATGAAGTCTCCTCGGAGCCTCGCTCCTTGGCATGGTGGACATACGGACACTTTGTGGTTGGACGCCTTTAGGCTCAGCTCAAGGGACTCAAGGGACTCAAGGGACTCAAGGGACCCGGAGCCTGTGCCCTGCGGTCAAGGGCACAGGACGTCATGCGCACAGGTCACCGCGGCAGGGTCGCTGAACCGAGCTCGCGCCTCTCGGAATTTCTACGTCGAGCTGACTCCGGCAGTAAGAGAGCAAGAACCGCAGCTTGCGGCACAGTGGACAGCGAAGGCACCGCTTAAGAACACGAGGCACCACTTCAGGTCGGCTGGAGCTTTGAGAGAGCCAGGGCATTTAGCCGTGCTCGCAGTGCTTCAGAGGGCGCGCCTTTCACGGGGCAAAGGCGCGACCCGCTGGGTGCGAGGCTGCGCGCCGCGAGGCGACTGGGGACTGGGGACTGCCAGGCAGGGTGGGTCGCAGGTGCGGAGGGGCCAGGACCGCCAGGAGAGCAAGCGCAGCCTGCGAGCGCTCCGAAGCCGAGGCTTAAGCTGACTGTGGACCTTTTGGAGGCCCCCGTGCTTAGGAGGGGAGGGGGGAGAAAATGTAGATTACAATTTTCCCTCCCCCACGGATGCGAATGTGTAAATTGTAGGATCCCACGTCTGGGTCCACGTCTTGCAGCTACCTCGTGCAAGGCAAGCCATGCATGCCCCTGCTTATTTCCGCTGGACACGGACAGTGGCAATTGTAGGAAAACATGTTCTACAATTATGCGCCCCCCACCACTCCTACGTTTATTAAGCGCGGGGGGGTCCTTTTGGAGGCGAACCGCAAAACGGGCCCAGGTCCAGGATTTCCACTGCCTGCACCTCCGTCGGTGCTCGCTCCGCTCGAGCTCGCCCAGAGCTCTACAAGCCCCTTCCACACAGCCTACCAGTACGAGCTCAAAGCTCCGCCCCCGCGTACTTGCGAGCCTCGCGAGCAGGCGGCTCTCAGCCCCGCGAAGGCGGTCGGCCTCTTCGGCTTCGGATTCTGTCCAGGCCTCAGCGCGATGGATGAGGATGGATGGAAAATGACTCGTGAAATGCCTTTGATTCTTCGACTCACTATCTTGGAGTTATCTTGGAAGGATAGAGCGGGAGGGAAGGCTGACATGCCCAGATGTTAAAGGAAGCGTTCTGTGGGACCTTGTAACTTGAGAGGGAATGTGGAGCGGTGCCAGCAGCGGTGCCAGTAGTCACCTAACGGACCTAACTCATCGAACTAGATCTTAACACTCTCGCGAAGCCTTCGCAGCGGTGCAACCCTCCTGCGACCTCTCATGTCAGAAGCGCTAGAACTCGCCAGCGTGCCGTCTCTGTCTCTGCGTGAAAAGCCTTCCACTGGGGCAAAGGGCCTGGGCTCCCTAAAAGAGTCCTCCGGAAATCTTCCCGGAAGCCGACCTCGCCTGCGCCACCTGTGCCTTCGCCTTCACGCTGCGGCACAGGGGCGGCAGAGGGCAGCGCTTCATCGGCTCAGCGCACTTTTACAGGCGGGCTGTTTTCACCCTCACTGCCCCAAGCAAACAGGACGGCTGATACTTAACACACAAGATCTCTGCTGGATCACTGTCTCCTGGCACAGCTGCACCCTGATTAGGATGGAGCCTCTTGAAATGCCGTGCAAGGCCATGAAGTGCTTTCCGGCTGTCTCCGCGGAAACCTCTCTTAGGCTGGCGCTTTACCGAAGTTCTTTTGGGACGAGTCTGTAGGGACCTAGACGCCTATCAGGGAGCAGAAGCAGCTCTTCGGGAAAGTGCGAGGCACCGGCACCGACCCTCTCGGAGAGCAAAGCGGAGTGGCGGCTCCGAGCGGGCACGCTTTACGAGCTGCCGCGCGAGCAACTCTCTGCTAGATTCCTAGAGGTCCTAGACCGGACTGCCCTGGACCTGGACCTTGACTGTCACACTATGCTATGCTGACTCTCGAATGGCTTGCGAAGCGAGCCGAGTCAAAACTCTGAGACCGTGCCTCCTGAGAACTCCCACAGATGGGACTTGCAACGGCGCTCTTGTGAGCTCGATTTGCAACGCTCCCAGACTCTCAGGCTCGCAGGGCTCGTACTTTGGTGACTTCAGTACAGGGCCCTCAGGGCCCTCGGGGCCAGCCCCATGTCCTCAGCTAACGGAACGCGCAGCTGCGCTGACTGCAGCTGCGCTGCGGCGAGACCTCGCTCAGGCCAAGAGGGTCCTTCGGGAGCGTCCCGGTGGGCCACCGTCCTTGTGCTGTGCAGCTAGTCTTTATAACTCGGCAACCCGAAGAGGAAAAATGTAGGTTTATGTAATTGCCTAGGCTCAGGCCTCAGCCGAAAAACTGCTTAATGCTCGAAGTTAGATGTGAGCTCCAAGCACCACTCTGCACCTGCAGCCAGCTTTCAACTCACGGCGAGGCGCCCTGAGCGAGAGATCGAAATCGAAGCGAAGAGTCGAAGAGTCGCAGAGTCGCAGAGTCGAAGCGGGAGGGGGACGAGGGGGACGAGAACGAGAGAGCGAGACCTCGGCTGCACGTTTTGACAAGCGCAGGAGCACGAGCGCCTGGCTTTGTTGACAGAGCGGCCGAGGTCTCTCTGGGCTCTGAGGGGCCACTGCGGCTTGAAAGCTCAGGCGATGGGCGCGAGGCGATCAAGCAGCACGAAGCCGCAGCAGGGTGAGGTTCGGGCAGCCCAGCATCCCCGGTGGGCCATCCGCGCCTCCAACCGTCCTAAAACACACAGACTTAGACCGCACGTGCGCTGCGCTGCGTGCCCCGCCCTCCTTTTAGACTTTTTGGGGGTGGCCTGGGGGGAGAGCGATTAGAGGGCGTTGAGAACTGCAGGCTGCCGCCGGCTGCCGGCAGCCGAGAAAAAGGGCCTCCATGGCTATCGGAAAGAGACCGACACGGCCTCGCAGACCCTTTTCAGATCGGACACTGATCCCGGCCAGAATCCCTGCTGAAATCTTCAAGTCTTGAACGAGCATTGGAGGACTTTGGCCACGAACCTTAAGGCTTCAGCAGAATTCTGACCTGAGCCTGAAAGCACGGTGCCTTAAGCCGTGCCTTCTGTTCCATTTCTTCAAAACAATTTTTTTTTAGGGGTTTCGGAATTTACACGGGCCGTATACGGTCTGAAACACACACGCTTTGACTGGGAGCTGCAGGAGCTCTGCACCGTCACAGCGCCAGCTTTGCTTGTCTGGCTCTGGCGGCTCTAGTGTCAACATTGGAGGGACTGAGACTCGGCGCCACGAGCAGGGATTCCACAATCAAGCTGGCTGCTGATCCGAATATGTCCATCTCATCGCCATCAGGCTACTGTTCTTAGGTGAGAAGTTCCGGGGCCTATCTGACTTCTGCTGTCATGCCAAAACGAGGCACGACCACCACGAGAGGAGGAGGCTTCCGGCAAGGCCCCGTATCCCGGGGTTGTGGTCGGGTTGCGAGAGGTGACAGGTATGTGTTGCCGTATGCCCTGTGCATGGCCAACAGAGCTATGCCGCAACTGGATGGTGCCCGCCTGCCCTCCCCTTTCTCGGCCCCGACACTTTTCGCTGCAAGAAGGCGGAGCAAGAGCTGCACCGTTGCCCCAGGTTCTAACCAGGCCCTGTAGGGCCGTCACAGCGCCCTAAACTGTCGCCTTACGTGGGCTGCAGCGCTGCACTGAGCCGCTCAGAGAGGCTGCATGCGCCTGAGAGCTTCGCGGCTCCTGCGTTTCAACGCCTGCGGCAGTAAAAAAACGCCCTCTAAAGCTCTTCGATCTTGAAGGCAATGAGAGCCTTCACCAGCGCACCTCCGAGAGGTGCCTTTGAAGGTGCATGCCGCGCATGCCACGAGCTCAGGTGAGCGGCCTGGCTTTTTATCGCCTGGCGGCAAAGAACGTCGGCAGGAAAGTGAATTTCGGACTGCTTTTCATCCGAGGATCAAGACGGTGATCACACAGCTCCTAGGCCGGACCAGCGGAACTTCTGGCAGCAGCGCAGTTTTTCAACTTCTGGGCATCCCGCTGCCAAACTGGGCTTTCGACGGTTGGCCGCTGCCTGGCGCCAACTCGAAGTGTTTAGGGCCGTTAGGGCCAGGGATCAGCAATCAAGCTGCACACCTTAGTCGTCAGAGCCTACGGGGCACTGAAGAAGGGAACCCGGAGAAGGAGAAAGGGCTTAGGGCTTAGGAGTGCACAGCCGCGGCCAGGGCCAGGGCCAGGGCGGCCAGCGAGCTCCGCGAGGGCCGCAGCGGTCCAGAAGTAGATCCGATCCACCAACGCGACGGGTCACGCGACCGATGCGACCGAGCAGAGTCTTTACGCGGCCGACGCCTTCAAATCTGCAAGGGGGGCGGCCCCCCCGCAGGGGGGGGGGGGGGGGGGGGGGGCCGTTGTCAAAGGTGTTGACGCTGATGAAAAGGATTCTGCACATGCGATTTCTTAAGACGCGACGGTCGCGCGCGGAGCACAGCGGAGCTCCGCCTCCGCACCTTGCGGAGCGCCCCCGGCCTTCGTCCTTGGCTCTCGAAACTCTGAGCTCTGGCCTGGCCCTGCCCTGCCCTGCC